GAATGGGAGAAAAGTGGTTCACAGGCTGAGCCAGTAGGAAAGGCACAGAGGAACAGGGTTTAAGCAGGCTGCTCTGGGCCAGTGCTGGCTGAGGTAACTCAGGAATTTTGCTACCATTATAGAACAGAAAAGACAAATTGCCCTCGGTCTGTAAATGGTGAAATTGAATCATAGTCAAAATATGCCCAAGGTCTCAGAGCATGTGGGTGCAGAAGCTGGGATGCAACACAAGTTCATTTGGCACCAGGAGGAAGCTCTTGCTGCATGACCCTACTCCTTACTGTGCTGGAGGTTTTCTACCACCCATGGCATCCTTTTCACCCTGCAAACCAAGTGCAGGCTCCCCAGAATTATCATCACCCCCACTAAACAGTCCCCCCCCCCATCTGGAGTGATCTAGGGAATCAGTAAGATGTCCAAGTAAGCCAGGACCATGCAACATAACATATTTATGGCTCTAATTACAGCAGGGACAGTGACTGACAGAGATAGCTGCATGCATTGGGCTCTGACACCTCTGTAACAATAACTACAAGACTACAGAGATGGTAGCAAACCCAGTGACAGTGGCTCTATTATAATGATAAATCTACAGCTTTATATAGAAATAATGAGACTAGGGTAGGAGAGGGGAGGGGGGAGAGTTGGATGAGTTTAGTCAATGGAGCTCTGGTTGGAGAGACAGAGGCAACCCCCTAAGATTGCCCAGGAGACTGGCAGGGACCTTCTTCATGCCAGCAGGAATGAGAGCTGCCACAAAGAGAGCCATGCTTCTGGCTGGAATGGATGCCACAAACTCCCTTGCTTTCTTTCCCAAGGCTTTCTTTCCTCAAATCTGCAAGACTGGAGGGCTGCAACTGCTCTAGTATATCCTGTCTGCCTGCTTCTCATCCTCCCACAGTCCAGTGCTGTATACAGCTGGAGGCCAGGGCTCCCTGGGACTTCCCTTTGCAATCAACATAGTTGGTCTATCCAGATGTTAACCTCCCTCTCACTAGCCTCAAGCTCAGTGTAGACAATCATCAGGTTTTACTACTTCAAATCAACTTGAGCCCTGGGCCAGTGGACCAGCCTGGTTCCACATGCTAGGACTGAATGTGATGCCCGATGTGCTCAAGGGGCTGGTGGGATAGCATCCGTAGCAAAGAATGGTCACAGAGTGTCCTTCTAATCCTCCATGCTCATGGTGCCTCTCTTTCCACTCAATTTGTGAGTCGCTGACTCTCTGTTCCAGTCCACACTGCCTTGCTAGATAGACTCACCAGAACAAGCTGTGTACTTGAACTCTGAGTGGGTGCACAGGATATCCCTTCCCAAGTTTGGTTGTGCCTACTATAAACAAATGACTGGAGCTTCTCCTCCAGGACACCTTCCCAGGCTAACCCAATTTAACAGCAGCAGAAAGTCACTACAGACACAGCTGCTCCTGAATCCTCCCCTGGGAGACTTTCCAATACAGAACATGACTGGAAATGTACCTTGGGGACACAGAAATACATGGGAGGGGCGGCTGCTGTGACACCAGAAGATCACATGGAGGAGGGCTCCAGGGAGGTGTTGGAAGGTGGTTTGCACTGGCAGAGAGGTAGTAGACAGACCTGTGTAACTGTCTGTAGTGGTTAGTTCTTGTCAATCTGACAGACTAGTCACGAGGGAAGAGGAAACCTCAATTAAGTAATTGCCTCCATCAGACTGGCCTGGAGGTGTATCTGTGGGGCATTTTCTTGAATAATGGTGGATGTGGGAGGGGCCAGCCCACTGTGGGTGGTGCCACCACTGGGCAAGTGGTTCTGGGTTATATAAAGTGAACAAACCATCAGAAGCAAGCCAGTAAGCAGCACTCGTCCACGGCCTCTGCGCCAGTTCCTGCCTCCAGGTTCCTGCCTTGTCTTCCCTTGACCAGGGACTGTAAGCTGTAAGCTGAAATAAACCCTTATCTCCCCAAGTTGCTTTTGATCAGTATTTTATCCCAGCAACAGAAAGCAAAGGGGTTCCTGTAAACCAAGGTAGGACTGTTGGGCTTATTGAGGGACCAATCAAGCTGGAGCAGGAAAACTGTCATTCCAAGCTCCGGTGTGAAGCACAGCTCTGAGGACAAAATCAAGCACATGGGAGAAACAAGGCCTGCTTGCTGGCTGCACTCATCTGCCTGCCGCCCCTACCCCCACCCCCACACTGCACGGACTACTAGATTTTATATACTCCGCGTGCTCAGTCATTCCCTGTGACGGTGACTTGGGTCTCCCTGGTCCCCAAATAATTAAATTTTCACAGCCAGCATCATGACACAGGTTAAAAAAAAAAAAAAAAAAAAAAAAAAAAAAAAACACCAGCCTGTTTACAGCCGCCTTCTTCATCTCACCTGAGTTCTTGTCTGTGGGGTTTGAGCCAGTTCTGGCTAGTGAGGCTTTGGGTTACAGTGTCTCCTTGGTTCCCACCTGAAGAGTGAGCTCAGCTCAGAGAGGCTGCAGGCAAGTCCAAGTGTGAGCGTGGTGCCCAGCTCTGCAGACCTGGAAACGCCTGTGCTGGCCTCCCTCTGCCTCTCGGCTAGAATATGTCCACTGTTTTTGGCCTGGTGGGTTATTTCTATTCCTCCCCCGTTGAGTTCAATTCCTTTCCTTTAGAACTCTTCCCCCACTGTCTTTCTCTCTCGTGGCTTTGGAGATTGTGATCAGTAAACAGTATTTTCTGGCCTGCAGCTGCTGAGTATAAATCACCTGCCTCTCTGGTTAGCTTTTTAAGTCAAAGAGGTTGCCCTCTACCCCTGCCCCACACTCACCCAAGTCCTCATAGTCCTCTTAGGAGAAAAGAGGTGGAGGAAGGCTCCACTCACACTGACTATGCAGAGGAAGTGACAATGGGACCAGGGTGGGGACGGCTACATTCTAGTCATAGACTGCCTGTTCCAGGACGAGACTTGCTCTTCTGTACCAGACAGGAAGATGGGGGATCTGTTCAGGGTCAGAGAAGGCTCCTAGGAAAACTGAGTAGGCCATAACCCCTGGCTAGCAGAGCTCCCCACCCGGGGCCACAGCCTCACTATGAGAACTGAGCTGCCCTTCACCTGTGCAGCCACCGTATGGAAGCCCACCGTAGGAGAGCACAGGAAGAGATGCACCAGATATGAACTTCAGAGTGATTTATGCTGCAAAGCTCCGGGCCCTCTCTGGTTGCTGCTGCCGTTTTGCTGTCCCCCACCCCAGCCCTACTTTGTTGACTAGGTTTGCTGCTCACACTGTTCCTGGGAATGGAACATTTCAAGAAAATGAAGGGGATAGCACTGGGACATTGTTATGTCCAACAACGAGACTGGAATACCCCAGAGTTCCTCCCTGAGGCAAAAGTAGAGTCCATCAACTTTCTCTCTGAACGTATCACATTCTGTATCAACCAGTGAGGGGCTGGTTTCCACAGAACCTCTTCCACATAATGACATTACCTATGCACTGTCCAAAGGTAGGGTTTTTTTTGGGGGGGGGTTGGTTTGGGTTTTTTTTGTTTTTGTTTTTGTTTTTTTGCTTTTGTTCTTCAAGACAGGGTTTCTCTGTATTGCTTTGGAGCCTGTCCTGGAACTAGCTCTGTAGATCAGGCTGGCCTCGAACTCACAGAGAACCGCCTGCCTCTGCCAGGATTAAAGGCCTGCACCACCAATGCCCAGCTTTAAAGGTAGGGTTTTTTATGTATGGTCACCTCTGCTAAGGTACAATTCAATAAACATCCAGGGAGACACTCCAGCAGCCAGCCCTGCAAGTCAATTAGAGTTTGGCTAAATGCCCCTGCAGACTTTCATCTACACAGGTGAGTGCAGACGGTACAGCCTAGCTACATCTGCAGGGTACAACAAACTCACCATCTCAGCTGTCTGTGTTAACAGAGGCTCTGGGTAGACCTCACTAGGCCCTGTACCAGGCTTATCCTCCACTTCTCTTAAAAACCCAACCTGAGGGGCAGAAGAGACAGCAGTGGTTGAGTGTGCACTGCTCTTGCAGAGGACCCGAGACTAGTTCCTAGCACCAGCATCAGGCAGCTCACAACTACCTATAACGCGTGGCTCCACAGGGCATGATGCCCTTCTTCAAGCCTCTGTAGGCTTCAATGTGCACAAACCTTTCTTTGAACAGACACATGCATACACACAATTTGATTTCTAAATCTAAAATCAAACAAGCAAATAAATAAATATAAGTTAAACCTTGACTCTTTGAAACCTTCCCTGGCCATTTTCAGGTGATTGTGGACAGTCCAGGAATCAGACCTTGTGTGTGAACTCGTCCATTCCTTCAGGCTAGCTTTCTGGATCTCCCAGACTGAGAGTTCCATGCCCCAGACAAGGGACTGTGCTAATGCTGTTCCTAAGCAGCTGCAGCCTTCCTTCTGGACATAGTAGGATTGCTTTGCCCTTGCCTCTTGGACATTGAGAATTGCCGTGTGTCTTATTTTTGCTAATGAAATATGAGTGGAAGTGACATATGTTACTTTTTCCTGGAAGCATAATGGAATATTGCATGCTTTGCCATAGCCTTATCATCCCGATGTCTAACTGTGTGAGTACACACTGGCCTCTGTTGGCTTAGGCCCCTTAATTACAAGGTCCAGTAGAGCCCACAGGCAAGTTGTGAAGCATATGTATCACAAACAAGAAACAAACTTTAGTTGTCTTAAGCCACAAATTCCCAGGATTGTTTCTTACTTCAGTTTGAAAGATTATATAACATGATTTATAGATAACACACTTAAGTTTAGCAAATAGAGAGAAAAACCCATACCATACAATCAAAATCAAAACATATAAATTTCCTTCCTTCCTTCTTTCTGTCCTTCCTTCCTTCCTTCTTTCCCTATCTAGGCAGAGTTCAAGGACTTCCCCACAATGAACTGGGCCACTAGGAAGTTTCCATAGTTTCCTATGTATCTCTAGAGGGACAGAGATCTGGGGACATGTCCCACCCAACTCTGAACTGCAAATGCCCAGGTAGCCAAGGGAACAGGGCTGTACTCACACTGGTGGCATACTGGATGTCCTTCCAAACAGAGGTCTCCCGGGACAGGTCAGAGGCCTCAAAGAGATTGTCCAGGATGACCTCCCCAATCATGTCATGGCGGGAGAAGCGGTCAAAGTCAAAGACACTGAGATGCAGCTTGCGGTCAGCCAGCTCCTCATAGGGCACAGGGAAGTGGAAGTTCTCATCAAAGGTGGGGTTCAGGGTCTTGCGGTGCACCCGGGTCTGCAGCTTGCACTTGCGGTCAGGCAGGAGGTAGATCTTGACATAAGGGTCAGAACTTCCACAAAAGTCCTTGGCAGGGAGGTCAAAGGCCTTCAGGATGCGCACAATCAGGGTCTCACTCTCGTAGTCATAGCGTAGGCTGAAGTTGATCTTCCCACAGCTTTTGGCGGCCTCAGACTTGGCATCATCCCCATCCACTGACTTCTGCTTATAGAGCTCAGGCTTGATGCGGCCAATGCTGGTGGGCTGTTCTGCTGCTGGTGGCAGCTCATTGCCATAGTCTACGCTGGAGACATGCATCTGCCGTGGCAGGTGGCGCTTGAAGGATGTGTGCCTGGTAGGGGACAAGAGGAAAAAAACAAAACCAACCAACCAAACAAACAAACAAAAAACAGTGTGTCAGGGTTTGGGAAGAAGTGGGATAAAGACAGACCCAACCATGGTGGCTTATCCTCCCTCTTGGTGGGGAGCTCCTTTCCCTTTCATTGACCCCACTTTTCCTCTTCATACATTTTGTGCACGAAGTGATTGGAAGCATTGTGTGTCTTAATATATGTAAAGTAGTTGGAATGGTGCCTGCTGTACAGCAATAATAAATGTTAGCCATTGTTTTAATCATCCTTCCTGCTTTTCTGACATCTGCTTTCTAGGTTTCTTTCCTGGTAGGCACGACTACTTTCTCCATTAGACTGTGAACCTCTCTGTACGAGGAGGACTATCTTTCCCACTGCCTGCATCTTTATAATCATCATCATCACCGCTGCCATCATCAGTACCACTTACTTAAGATTTAGCATCCGGCAGACAGCCAAATATTTAAAGGCATAGGCTTTAGAAATAGGCTACAGGTTAATTTTGGTCCTGCTACTTTGGGCAAGTTAGTAAATTCTCTGCACTACAAAAATAAAGATAACAAAAGTAACAGCTCGGTAGAATTGTGTGAGAGTAAAATAGATGCCTGCAAAATGCTTAGAACAGGGCCAGGCGTGTGATTAGCAACATGTGTTAGCCCTCAGCATTACTGCATGGGTTCTTTCAAGGTTCCTCACAACCACCTTAGCAGAGGCATTTGCCCTATTTTATAGTTTAGGAAAATGATGCTTAAAGTGAGCTGTATGCCTAAAGCCATGTGGCAAACCCTGCCTAGGGGAACCTTAGCATCTTCATGCCTGGCTTCTGGTCTGAAGACCATGCATCTTTCCCTTTGATCAGTGTCTCTGAGCCTGAAGGAACATTGCAGGGATCCAGGAATCAACAGGATTCTCAAATTTGGAGTGCCTATCCACATCTTTCAGAAATGTTTCTGGATTGAGTTAGAGTAAGCAGGCAGCCATCATGTTTGTTGCCGGTAGGCTTTTGAATTAGATGATGCCAGGTTATGCAACTGCTACCATGTAGAGAACTCAAAGGGATTTTAAAGAAACCCTTGTTCTTAAAACTCCTGAACTCTCGTGCTTTACCTCCAATGCAGTCTATAGCTACTGCTTTACCTCCAATGCATGAGAGTCTATAACTGCTAGGCTTTACTGACCTAGCCCTTAGAACATCATGAACTTGCACGCCTCTGGATTTTGCCTATACTTTTCCCCTGGCTGAAGTCTTTCCTTTCCTCAAAACTCTCAATCCAGCTTCTAGTCAGGTCTTCTGTGTCCTTGCATTTGCAACCACATGCACAGCCTCTCACCTTGAAGGTCCCTCTTTCACCACACCTACCCTGATTGTCACCTCCCCTCTTGATTGCCACTGTGGACCACACCATCTGCTCTGGTCCTCAAAAGAAACATGCTACTATTTCTGTACCCTGATTGTCAGAGGCTGGAATCTCTTTGATGCACTGTACCAGAAAGAGTGGGTGCATGGTGGTCAGGAAGGGAGGGGTGCACCCTTCACCTGGTGGATGACGCTGGTTCTGTGGTCTGTCGCTGAAGCCTTGTGTGACGCATGATGTGCTCTTTGACCGACATCTGCACCTCGGCTGGGATATCTGGGGAAGTGTGGCTGATCTTCACAGCTGCCTCCAGGAAACCCAGGGCACTGGGGTCCTTCAGCTTGTCTGCCATGTTGCCTCTGGAGCTGGGACTTTGGAGGGTCTCTGAAGCAGGGTTAGCAGAAGAAGGGCTGGAGGCCTCCTTGTTCCTCCTGGGCATCCAGCACAGCTTCCAAAAGAGAAAGAGAAAAACTGCCACCAGGGCCACGCCACACACAATAACTACCACGGCGAGGAGGCTGACAGAGGTGCCTGCCCTCAGCATGAGGCAGGCAGGATAGGACAGAGACAGACAGAGGTGGGGATAAGCAGGTGGGGCATTGGAAGGAGGCGCACACAGAAGGGACAAAGACGGAAGAAGAGAGAAGAATGGTTATGAGCAAAGCTGCCAAGTCACAGAAAGAGGAGATGATTCGGGGGTCGACCACTGAAGGTCCATTTTGTCAACTAGCTGCAGCCTACGGTTCACCACAGTCTGATTGCTTCAGTATCACCCTGCCCCCACCTTTTACCAGCTTGGGGAGCACTGGCTGCTTGCCCTACTGCTCCTGGCTTGTGCCCAGAGAGGGGACGGTGATTTAAACGGGACTCTAAGCAAATGTGCAAATTCCTGAAGCGTTCATATTTGTACGCTGTTTGAATTTCTATTAGAGCAGTTACTGTGGCCAGACTTATAAGTGTCTTGTTTTTCTTTTTCGCTCATTTTATTTTGGTACTAGGGATGAAACCCAGAGCCTTGCCCTTGTTATGCAAGCAATCTCTCACTGAACTTTATCTCCAGCCCCCAATGGAGATTTTTGTGCACAGCCCATACACAGTCTATGAGGTAGGGGGCAGATACTGGCTAGCTAACTCATGCTCCCTTCTTTGTCCAGGCTCTATCCTTGTTTGATCCTAGAACAAAGCAGGAATTCAATAAACACCCAGCTCTCTCCCAGGGAGGGGAGCCCAGCCCCATTTCCCTAAGGGTAGGTGTGTTAGCTTCTCTTTTCCTAGAGTTTTCTGCAGTAGACTAACTGGGCACTTGTATTAAGTTTGAATCTGATTACCAGAGTCTGTATAAGTCAAAGTTAAGTACAAAATACCAATGGCTCCCATCACTGTCTTCTTCCATTCTGCAGTTCTTTGGAAGCTTTGTTGTAAACCTAGTATTTGTGAACCTTGTGGCAAGCTGGGTTGGAAGCAGGCACGTAAAGCCTTAACCTGCTCCCATCTAGACCCAGCCATGCTGATCGCCTCGAGAGAGCTGTGTAGAATGACTCCTCATGTGCAGAGCTGGTACACAGACTCCTACCCCACTTCCTTTCCTCAGATGTGAAAGTGAATCTTTGAGCCCGAGGCAGAAGTCAGAAGGCTCAGAGCCAGAGGTATGCCTGGCAGGGCTGTCATGTGATCACTTGTGGATAAGCCAGTAGAGGAGCCTGGATTAGCTAATACTGTGTGAGAAGCAATGAAATTCCATAACTGTTACTACCCCAGATGTCCGACTTCTTTTCTGGAAGAGGCCAATGGCTTGTTAATTGGCCCTGGGCAGATTGGTGATGCTGGTGACTCCCTCTGCACAGATGAGTCCCATCAGCTCAACCCTCTGCTGTCTTTCACCTGGCTAGTCCCTGCAGACCTCTGGACCGGCTGCTAACTGCCTTACACAAATCTTAGGACTTGCTGTGTGCACCTAGTCAACAAGTACCAAAAGCAAGGATTTACAAGAGGCCACAGATTAGTCAGACATAGAACTGGGGCCCGGGCCCAGGCGTCCACTATCCTCTCCTTTCCATTTCCATGACTTGTTTGTCCCAGATTAAACTCTAGACTCCTCCTATAGGTTCCCGTATAGTGTGTTTTCATTCATGAACCAGCATATAAGCAGGCATACATGAATGAATTACAATTCTTTCTCATTTAAGTTCAATTATGCCAGACTGCCAGATGCTGAGCTAGGTTTGGCAAAATGCCTAGGTCCCTCCAGGTTCTTTTACTGTATTCAGTCCTTAAAGAAAGCTACCCTACATCCTGAGGAGGCAAGAACTTTAGCCATGCTCTCAAGGAGCCACCATTGCCTTCTATCACCCTCTCCAGTCCTTGCGGGGTTCAGCAGCCAGGTGTCTCCATGGAAGGGGATGAAGAGGCGATTATGTGCAAGTCTCTTCCCACTACCTCCGCCCCCATTCAACCCAGCACTTCAGATTGCTTTTTTGGCCAAGAGCTACCACTGGCCTGTCCCCTAGAGCAGCAGTTCTAAACCAGTGGGTCATGACCCCTTTGGGGTCAAATAACCCTTTCTTAGGGTCACCTAAGACCATCAGAAAACACAGATGTTTACACTACAATTCACAACAGTAGCAAAATTGCAGTTATTAAGCAGCAACAAAAATAATTTTATGGCTGGGAGTCAGCACAAAATGAGGAACTGTATTAAAGGGTCGCAGAATTAGGAAGGTAGAGAACCACTGCTCTAGAGACTACAAAGTCTCCAATGAGACACTCATGTTCCCCAAGAGAAAAAAAAATCCAAAGTATTATAATATTTATTATGTCTTATAAGTAGTCAAAATCATATACAGATTGACAGTAAGAAGTATTTTATTATTGGATTTAGTTCATTTATTCAACATCATATGTTTAATATTAAAGTGGTTTTTATATATCCAATTATGTGATCCTCTCTAACGAAACAGGTAAAATTATTATCTCCCTTCGTGTCTAGTAACATCTAGAGAATAAATAGATAGCCCAAGTCACACAGTAAGGTGGGCCTGGTCTCCAGCCTCACCCACACAGCTCAGCAATATCACTTTGGTAGCGCATGTATGTAACTTGGAGACAGGCAGACATATGTTGGAAGTACTTACACTTTTTCCTGTTGTACATGTATGGTCTAAATGGCTCAGAGGCTGTTCTTCCAAGCCCTTGCCCTTCTAGGTGCATCTGGAAAGCTATTGTAGATGTGTACATCCTTTCTAAGTGTCTGCACATCTCTGGACCCTTACATCTGCTCTTTGTTACAGCTGCTCTGGGCCCATTCCTGCAGTGAGTCACTTTAAAACAAAAGGTATTTCTAGGGCCATGCTTTCCTTTGATCATACATTTTACTTGCTCTGGTAATAATTAGAATTTTAATGAGAAGGGAGGAGGTAAGGGGGGAATCCAGAAAGCACAGAGTGCATCTAAATGTTCAGCTTAACAAAAAACAAAATAAAACAACAACGACAAAAAAAAAAAAAAAAAAAAAAAAAACAACCTGAATTCATAAATGAAAGGTAGGGGGAGGGGCCCGGGGACCAGGGGAGAACCCTTCATGTAGTTGCTCTTTCGATTGCTCCTCCATGTGACCTCTAGCTGCTGTTCCCTTGGCTCTATGCTTAGAGAAGACAACAGATATGGATTATTGGGAATCAGTCCTTAGCACTGAATTCTGGTTATGGAAGAATAGGAGGGCCATCCTATGCCTGGCGAATCTTCTCCCAGAACTAGAAGAGCCTGGACATTGGCATCTCGCACGAAGGCAATACAAGGAGAACTAGGTTCTGGATACTGAAAGAGTTCATCCATACAGAAGACATATGGTGGAAAGTAAGAAGGCAAGAACAGGCCAGGCAGTGGTGGCGCACACCTTTAATCCTAGTACTCAGGAGACAGAGGCAGGCAAATCTTTGTGAGTTCAAGGCCAGCCTGATCTACATAGTGAGTTCCAGGACAGCCAGGAATACACAGGGAAATTCTGTCTCAAAAAAAAGAGAGAGAGAGAGAGAGAGTGGTGGATTGGAAGGGAGGGAGGGAGAGAGGGAGGGAGGAAGGAGGGAAGGAAGGAGAGAGAGAGAGAGAGAGAGAGAAAGAGAGAGAGAGAGGAAGGAATGAAGCAGAATCAGACCAGAGGAGGCTATAATTGCAGAGAACTTAAAAACAACTCTGGGTGGTCTTGAACTCAGCCAGACTTCATTTCCTAGTGTGTTAGTCAGCTCTCCCATCATAATAAACACTAGAGATAACCAACTTATGACAAGAAAAGGATCATTTTTGATTTTTTGAGGTTTTAGTCTATGATCTATCAGTCCCACTGTTTGGTCCATGGTGGTACATCATCATGGATGGATGTGGTAAAACAAGATCTCTTGCATCATGACCAAGAAACAAGAGAGAAGAAGAGAAGGGGGAAGGGACTGGGGTCCTGATGTCCCTGTAAGGGGTCTGCTACAAGACTTCCCACTAGACCTCATCTCTGGAAGGTTCCACCCCCTCCCAACAGGCCAACTTTAGGAAACAAGCTCACCATGTAGTCCTTTGGGCTGATACTACAAATCCAAGCTATGACACCTGCTTTTGGGATCTGAGACCATGTAGCCACCTCTGGGAGGGAAAAAAATGGGTAGATCTATTTATGCGTTAGAGAACATAATCCTAAGAATATTGTTTGGAACAAAGGCATGTGGCTTTAACCCTAGCTGGAACCTGGACTTCACAGATACTCAGTACCTCAGGAAGGGTGTGTGTGTGTGGGGGGGGGTAGGGCACACCAGTGCAGATGACTGAAAAGTAATGCCATCCACATTGCTTTCTATAGGTTATTCCTGCCTCACCGGAGCATTATGAAAATCTAATAAGCACAGCCCTAATATGCAAAGAATGTCCCCAAAACATAAGCTGCTATTATCCCCCAGGACTTGGTTTTCTTCCTTCCTTCCTTCCTTCCTTCCTTCCTTCCTTCCTTCCTTCCTTCCTTTGTTAAGTATATTTGTTTGCTACATACAGCTAGGCCTCTGGAGTGGAGAATGAAGACCCTAGATCAGAGGGCAAAGTGGCAGAGTAGCTCAGGCCCCTCTTCCCTCCAGAGAAATTGAGATCCCCTCGAAGCTCATTAGGGCAGGGCCTGCTTGGTCACCTTAAGTGAGATTATCTGGTAAATTGATGGATGTGGCCTCCTTCCTCATCCAGAGATGCTAAGTTATTAATTAGCATCCCAGGGCCTGCTTATCTTCCCTGGCGACACTTCATTCTCTAAAGGCAGACCAGGTGTCCCCTCCTCTTCCCTGCATTTGTAGTGTTAGGATTCATCAGCAACTCTTGCTGCTCGCTATTGTTCTCATTTTTCTAATGTGTTCCCGTGTCAGGAAAGTGCATTTCATAACCATCACGAGCATTCTTGCTAACAGATTGTAATTGAAAAGACAACCTGGAGAGAGGAATAGCAAAGAAAGGGCCGGGTCCCAGCTCACCCCAGTACCAGAGAAGCCTGGTGCAGGGCCTGGAGTTGT